GAATGAAGAGTCGCCCGGGCTGCATGGATTCCCCACTGGGCTGCGTTTTTCAGATTTTCTTAAATGACCACTGATTTGTGATGGGGAGTGAGCCTGCTTTTGTCCATCCCTCTCACCGGGTTGATCTCCAGAGCAGGGAATGGTCTGGGCATGGCACTGTTTTGTCCTCACTTCCAGGGAAGATCAGTTTTCCTGCCATCCAGGCTGCTCCCTCCTTCAGCACCTCGTTCCCTCAGATCTTCCAAGACCGGACGGACGTCCAGTGCCTCATCCCATGCGCCATTGACCAGGTCAGGAGGTGGCCAGCTTTGGTCAGGAGGTCCTCCCTGCACTCCTCAGTGGGAAGGAGGTTTTGAAAGGTGTTGGGTGGGGAGGAGGCTGGGAGATTCCTGTCCAGGACCCTTAGGCATTGCTAAACACCGGCTGGTTTCTTCCGGCCATCCTCAGAAGGCCCTCCTCTCCCCTAGGACCCTTATTTCCGAATGACGAGGGATGTGGCCCCCCGGATCGGCTACCCTAAACCAGCCCTGCTGCACTCGACCTTCTTCCCTGCCCTGCAAGGGGCCCAGACCAAAATGAGTGCCAGTGATCCCAACTCCTCCATCTTCCTCACAGACACGGCCAAGCAGATCAAGACCAAGGTGAGCACTGCCCAGGGCAGAGGGGAGCCTGTGAGCAGAACCACGCCCGAGAGGGGCACACGCACATGCACACGCACACATGCCGTCGCCCTGTCTTTCCGGCATCCGCTGCCGCAGGGATCCGCCCTGCTGTTGTTAGGGGGTCGTTGTGTGTTTCCTCGGTCCTTGTCCCCACCGCAACAAAGAATTGAAGGGCAGAGACACAGTAGTGAAGCCGAGTAAAAGTTTTATTTAAAGTTACTTAAAGAGAGAAAAAGTACAGGCGCCCTCAGGGAGGAGAGGCGCCCTGAGAGGTTGAAGAGAGAGAGTTTAAGGTCACACACTTAGAAAGTGCAGGCACCTCAGAGAGCGGTGCACTGGAAGGTTGGGGAGAAGTCAGTGTTACACCCTGTAACGCTAGGAAGAGGAAATCCAGGGGCAAAATATCTAGCTGACACCAAAATCTGTCAAAGGGAGAAGTAAAGTTTAAAACCCGTTTATTGCTTAGGAAACATCTGTCGATACAGTGATGCACTAAAGCCGGGCGAGAGATTCTGGATATATCGCCGTTTTGCCCTCACACACTTAACCGAGTATGGGTGACCCCAGAGACTGATGTGCCCTGAAAGGTTGAGGGTTCCCCATTTTAAGGATTTTTCAGGACTGTGACAAAGAGCTGGGGGTGCAGACTTGTTAAGTGATCCCCAACTATTTAAAATTAACACAAATTTACTGCACTGATTTCTCCCTGAGAGACCAGCTTCTTGGTCTGGGGCATATGGAACAAGGCCACCTGCAGAGCCCC